AAAATCGTCCCAATTGTACCACTGATCGTTGACGTTCACTTTCTGGAAAGCCATTCTCACCTGAGCACCCTCTGCCCTCTTCTCTCTCGCGAAACCTCTCAACCTGGCTGCTGCTTTCTGCTCCCGTTGAGTAAGGTCCGGCTCGATGAAAACTCTAGAGTTGGCGAGCGTTTGTCTCTTGTTTTTTATGATTTTCAGTTTCGTATCCCAGCTATTCAACGTCACAATTGCTTTGGATGCTATCTCCGAGACGTTAACCACCTTTATCTCCTCAGATGTTGAATTTATCCATAAACAACTCTCTGGTTTTCACCTCCAAATTGACGTTGTCAGCCTCTAGACCACTGACTACAATGTTTAGCCTCTTGTTTTTTCTCTTAGTCGCGTCAAGAGCCACCAAGGCACTCTTCATATTAGCAGATAACTCCTCACTCACACTGTCAGGAACCAATCCGTGATTTCCAAACGAGTTGGACTCGAGTTTATCACTGATGACTTGAGAAAGTTCCTCACGCAGCACCTTCAGTTTATCTTGATTTGGGGAGTTCGAGTGCTCACTCTCCAATTTAGCCAGTCTGTCTTCAATTGTCCTCCAGCGTTCATCATATTTTTGATCATTGGCTTGTATCTGGTTGTTTAAAGATGTGTAAAGAGAGCTGAGACTGTCTGTTTTGGTATTAAGCGTTTGGACATCGCTGGAGATGGTGGTGAGCTTAGAGTCTAAGCTCTGGATCGCTTGAAGAATCTTGTCCATGTCCTCTGCTTTGCCCCCCATGAGCGGTGATGGGCTAGCACTGGATTCAAATACTAGCGAGGCGCACACCAGGGCAGATTCCCCCGGCATATAATTTGTAGCTGCGGGGAAGTTAAAGTCTGTGTTCGGGCTCTGCAGCTTGCGTAATTTTAATCTGCTGCAAAGTTGCGAGGTAAAGGGTGTCGTTGACTTTTCCTGTGGTCTTTTGGCTCCTCTTTTCCACCAATCTGTAATTTTAACGTCCTTGAGATTTTCGGAGCACCTGAGATGACTCTCCGCCTTCGATTTCCTCCCTTTTCGAACTCCACACTTGGGAACAGGTATAATAACTTCTCTGACAGTGGATTCCGCCCACGAGATGCTTGAGCTGGATGAGCTGTAAAGTCTGGAAAGCACCAGCGATTGACCGGGCGATTGCTGACTGGCAACGCAGGTCCTTGCTAGGAGTGACCAGTTTTGGAGTAGATGCCCGTGGGAGATAAGATCTAGCTACCGGAGACGAGTGATGAACAGCACCAGGACTCACGGCCAGGCCAGCATCCCTCCTCAGAGAGCTGATGTTGATAGGAGTTGAGGTTATGTTACTATACCGGGAATTGTCACACTTTGATTTAGGGCTGTCAGACATACCACCAAGCTGCCAATTTCACCTCACATTATCTCACTGGTGTAATTGGCAGAGCCTGACAGTTGAGTCTAACCGAAATTCTCAGCCAACAAATAAGTGGCCCACCACAGTCTCAAACACGATACTTTTAACGGATTTAAGTGGATCAAGTTTTAAAAAATACTGTTTAAAACTTGATCCACTTAAATCCGAACAAAGGGGATACTTCTGAACAAAGGGGGATGGGATGTCGAGTATTTCACCTTAAATGTCCACTGTAATAAGCAAAAAAAGCCAAAGCAAAATGTAAACAACACGCTTCGTACTAGAGACGTCACGTGATCCCCCAATCCAAATTCAAATAAGCGTTCCAGCGATTTTTGAAAGACAATTAGGAACTATTTTACAGTTACAATTTCAATGACATTGGATACTTATCTGTGATCGTTTGTAGTCGTTTGTTTACGAATTCTTGTAAACATTTGATCTCTTTTAGGTCCTCGATGCAAACTGATTGGTCGAAACCATTTCATAAAATCTATTCCGTACTTGTGTTTAATTGAAGTGGAAATATTCAATTACTACAATCAACTACAAACGATCACAGATAAGAATCCAATGTCATTGAAACTGTAACTATAAAATAGTCTTAATTGTCTTTCAAAAATCGCTGGAACGCTTATTTGAATTTGAATTGAAAAAAATTCAATTCTACAATGAACTACAAACGATCGCAGATAAGAATTCAATGTCATTGGAGATAATGATAATGTTCTTATCATACAAATGTTTATGCAGTAGTGAGTGACCACTGCGAATTCTGTTAAGGGATCATTCTGGTTTAAAATTTTTCAAAAATCGATTTTTTTTTTTTCATTTTCGGAAAGGATACACATTCAAAAGTATTGTGTAAAATTTTTAGAATATTTGGAGATGTCTAACTATGACTAACTCGGACATTTTCTTGAGCGCGGGACGCAACTGACCTGCAGCCCTCTTACTACCTGTGCGCGCTCGGCCGACCCGTCTCTTGTCTAATCCGCTTTCTGTTTCCATTCATTCAAACAGCTGCTCAGTTCGGTTTTCGTTAGATTTTTGAGAAGCGGCATCAGTTTTCTCTCCGAGGTTGAACAAGCAACATCAGTACGCACACTATTTTTCATTATGGACCAAAAATCTACAAAATACGGAAAATCCCGTCCTGGTAGACCAGGTAAAAAACGCAAGTTTCAAGGAAACCAGCACAGTGATGAACGCGGAAGTCGTGAAACAAGTAAGTCGGCTGAAAAATTAAAAAAATCGAAAGATGCGACTTTCGATGTACATGTTCACCAAACATCCGGTTACAGTATTATCAATTTTTTTTCGGTGTTTTTGATGATCTCAAATTACATAAAATGTAAAGACTGCGACGGAGAAGTTTCGTTCACTAAATATGGACAACGTGGGTTAGGTTTTAAACTGTGTTTGAATTGTGCTTGTGGTGAAAAATATATTGACTCGTGTCCGATGATTGGAACTGGTTATGAAGTGAATCGTCGACTAGTGTTTGTGATGCGTTTACTCGGAATAGGTGTCCATGGTATTGAAATGTTTTGTAGTCTCATGGATCTAGGTAAAGGCTTGAGTATTTCTGCTTATTACGGAATCGTTGATAGCATAAACATTGCTGTCGATGCTGTTTTTGATTCAGTGTCACACAAAGCCGTCGCTGAAGAAAAAGCTGAAAATAAAAAAAGAGGAGATCCAGAAGATATTTTGACTGTTTCCGGAGATGGTTCTTGGTCAAAAAGAGGCTTTTCTTCTCTCATTGGCATTGTTTCGCTAATTTTCAAGCACACTGGAAAAATTGTTGACGTTGCTGTACGATCAAGCTACTGCAAAGCATGCGAGTGGTGGAAAGGAAAAGAAAATGAAGTGGACTATCTGGCCTGGTATACAGAACATCAAAACGACTGCAGTGCAAATCACGACGGTAGTGCTGGAAAAATGGAAGTTGACGGCATTGTCGAGATGTTTCTCCGATCATTAGAAAAATTTGCAGTGAAATATGGATTTTACATCGGTGACGGAGATTCAAAAACCTTCAAAATGCTGCTTGATGTATTTCCGTACGGTGAGGAATTTATTGTAAAAAAATTAGAGTGTGTTTTACACGTCGCGAAAAGAATTTTTAAGCGTGCTAATGAAGCAAGAAAAGCTCTTGTT